AAAGAAAGAAAGAAAGAAAGAAGCATGGAAGCAAAGGGCAAAGGAAAGAAGGAAAGAGGTAGAGAAGGAAGAAAGGAGAAAAGGAAAGGAAAGGGGAAGGAAGAAAAGAGGGAGGGAAGGAAAGAAGGAAAGAGAGAAGGGAGTATGGAAGCAAAAAGTGAAGGAAGGAAGGAAAGAGGTAGAGAAGGAAGAAAGGAGAGAAAGAGAGAAGGAAAAGAAAAAGGGAGGAAGGAAAGCAAGAGGTAGAGAAGGAAAGAAGGAGAGAAAGCGGAAAGTAAAGAAAAAGGGAGGGAGGAAAGAAGTAGAGAAGGAAGGAAGGAGAGAAGGGAAGAACAAAAGGGAAGGAAGGAATGCTCAACTTTTGTATCCTGTTTGTTTTTGGATGCTCTGCTTTATTTTAGGGTAGTTTTCCCTAACATTTTGGAACAGAAATAATAAAGCCAAATTGAGAACATGAAGGTCAACTTTGGGCTGCAGTTTCCTAGGGATTTTGGACAGATTTCTTCACTGAAGATTTGCCATTGCCTTCCTTGGAGGCTGAGAGTGTGTGACTTTCTCATGTCATCTATTGGATTTCCATGGTTGGGTGGGGATGCGAATGCAGGTGGATCCCTTGTTAGTTGGACATTTCTGATTTTAGTTCAAACTGTAATGGAACTCTCTAAGGTAGAAGAAGATTTTGCACCTTGGACAGCCCTGATAAAGTTCAGACTAAGACACAACGCAGATACTTTCTCCATTGATAGGAAAAGCCACAATTCACTTTGAAATAAGACTTTGGCCCTTCTTAGCCTCTAAGTTTCTTTCACAACTTTCTTGTTCTCAAACACAATAATTATGTCCGGCATTTTATGTTCCAGTTGCTTACCCATTGAAATGTGAAAGATGGATAGGAGGAGAAAGAAGAAGAGGAAGAGGAGAAAGAAGAGGAAGAAAAGAGAGAAGAAGGAAGAGAAAAGGAGGAAGAGATAGGAGGAGGAGGACTTGTTGGACAGATCGAGGTTTGGTTCCGCAAAACCAGGTGCATTGTGTCCAAAGGTACAAGCATCACACAAAGGGTCTCACTTACGTGATCGATCAGTTCCCTGATCATGCCGTTCCACTGGCCCTTCTCGTCCTGCGCCCCATATTTCCCATCATCCACCAGCCGAATCTCATAAGAGAAGCCCAGAATCCGGGCCACTTCGGCCAGGAGGTCGACGCAGTAGCCTTCGAAGCGCTTGTTCCCAGAGAGGACGGTGTCTGACCTGGTGAACATGACGAAGGGCTCTTCCTACACAGCCAGAAGGAGAGAGAGCAAGAAAGAAGGTGGCAGCAATAAAAATGGGCCCAAAGACCCCCCAGCCCACATGTCTCAGCCCTATTGGCCCAGCCCCAGAGATGGCACGTGGCTCCCTGATGATTTCCTGGCACAGAAGGACTGTAGGCCAGATTGGCGACATCCCATTTGTAATTTAATTTGCAAAGTGCTTTACAATCCTCACTGGCCACAATCCAAGACAAAGTTCAATTCATTGGCCAAAGTCCAATAGTTAGTTGGATTCGAATGGGCTCCCTGAATCAATACCATTATACTACGTGGGAACACCTACACAAGCCTGGATTCTATGGCTTCTCTCATTGAAAGGAGACCCACTGAAGCAATGCAGTTTATTTATGCGTTGATTCATTGTTCAGCAATTAATTAAGGCCACAAAATCAGCTTTAGTTAATGCGTCTCCTCTCACTTGGGGTTGATCTACACTGCAGAACAAATGTGGTTTGACCCTACTTTAACTGCCATGGCTCAATGCTATGGAATACTGGGAGTTGCCGTTTTACAAGGTATTTAGTGTCTGCTGCTCAAGAGTGTAAACTACAACTCTCACAATTCCATAGTGTTGAGCTATGTCAGTGTCAAACTGCATCAATCCTACAGTGTAGATCAGTGGTTCCCAACCTTTTTTGACCAGGGACCACTTGACCAGGCACCACTTTGACTAATGTTCTCCAATATTAGTACTAAAAGGGTTACGAATCAGTTTTTTGTCAACTTTAAATTCTGTTTGGTTAATTGGATAGACAACATCAGAAAATTGCATTGGATAGACCACATCAGCTTTAATTTCTGATACAGAACATATGTCATTCAGTAGTCACCATCTGCTCGCCCCCAGAAAACCATATTTAATAAGCCTTGGCACTATAAGAGAGTTTTGCAAGGCCGGTCGCTCTCTTTGCAACGGTGTAGTAATGGTGAGGCCATGGACCATATTTTAGTTATTGCAGACAACTGGTGGTCCATGGACCACAGGTTGGGAACCACTGGTGTCGATGAACCCTTGGAGCACTTAAACCTGCTACTGAACTCAATGGGTCTTTCTAAAGCATATTTCTCGTGTTGGATCATGGCCTCCATATCTAACCCTGTGAGGCTGAGAGCACATGGTGTGGCCAAGAAAAAAGCGCCAAAATGGGAAGCTTAGCCAATGGAACCGGCTGCCTCTCTCCAATAGAACTATGTAACACAATTTTGCTTTGTGTGAAAAAAAATACTGAAATGTTTAATAAAAACATGGGGAAATAAAAAGTTCCTTGTGTATAATACTTTCAAAGTAAGGATTGCACAATTAAACAAGAAATAACACTTTAGAAAAAGGAACAGAATTTTTTCAAATTTTCTTACATAGTGTAGTATTTCCCTTCAAATGCACAAAATATAGTCCAGAAAATGCAAGGTCTATGTCCAAGACATACAGGAAGGCATGGTCAATGCCCCACAGTACTGTTTTCACCAGTATGTGCAAGTTCAAGAGATGGGTCGACGTTACCTTCCTGTGGCAGGGAGTTCCAAAGGTGAGATGCTGCTGCAGAGAAAGCCTCGTTATGTATTTATAGGTTGTAGGTTTTTCGGGCTGTATGGCCATGTTCTAGAAGCATTAGGTTGTTGTGGATTTTTTGGGTTGCATGGCCATGTTCTAGAAGCATTCTCTCCTGACATTTCGCCTGCATCTATGGGTTGTTGTAGGTTTTTCAGGCTGTATGGCCATGTTCTAGAAGCATTCTCTCCTGACGATTTGCCTGCATTTATGGATTGTTGTAGGTTTTTCAGGCTGTATGGCCATGTTCTAGAAGCATTTTCTCCTGACGTTTCACCTGCATCTATGGATTGTTGTAGGTTTTTCAGGCTGTATGGCCATGTTCTGTATGGCATTCTCTCCTGACATTTCGCCTGCATCTATAGGTTGTAGTAGGTTTTTCAGGCTGTATGGCCATGTTCTAGAAGCATTCTCTCCTGACATTTCACCTGCATCTATGGGTTGTTTTAGGTTTTTCAGGCTGTATGGCCATGTTCTAGAAGCATTCTCTCCTGACATTTCGCCTGCATCTATGGGTTGTTGTAGGTTTTTTAGGCTGCATGGCCATGTTCTAGAAGCATTCCCTCCTGACGTTTTGCCTGCATCTATGGATTATTGTAGGTTTTTCGGGCTGTATGGCCATGTTCTAGAAGCATGGCCATACAGCCCAAAAAACCTACAACAACCCAGTGATTTTGGCCATGAAAGCCTTTGATAATACATTATGTATGTATGCTAACCTAACTTTACAAGGTGTTAGGGCTTGCAAAAGAGACATGCAATATGTGGATCTGTGTTTCAAAAAAAAGAGTGACTGGTCCTTCATCCACCCAAAGCAGAGCCCTCATCCTCATATTAATCTTTGAAGGCCACCACCAGAGACCTCCATATTTAACACCCAAAGAAGCAGCTGCTCCCTCTCATATGCTCAGCTCCTGGGGTCTAAAACATTTCCGAGGGCTAATTCCTGAAGTCAGAAAGGCACTTCTTCACGGGCCGCTTCACACTATATTACTGGAAACGGCCAGGCTTTCCATTCGGCAGCTTTCAGGGCCTCGCTAATCGATGTCTCAGCGAAGGTGCCCTCAATTTCAGGATGTTCACAGCTCCCCCGTGACTCCAGAGAGGCAAAGCGGTGCATTGGAGGCAACATCTGTGTGCGGACAATAAGGCAGCACTTCAATAAGAGCAGAAACAAGTGAAGGGAGGGAGAGATGCCAGGCAACCTTCTCCTCAAAGGTTTTCTGCCTCCAGGTTTTTCAAGCTTCTCACTGGCAGCCTTTATGAGAAAAGCTGCGGTTTTCTTCCTTCTTTTCCCTTTCTGGGAAGGCCCGGCTTGAATAGTAACGGTAAAGGTTTTCCCCTGACATTAAGTCCAGTCGTGTCCGACTCTGGAGGTTGGTGCTCATCTCCATTTCTAATCCGAAGAGCTGGCATTGTCCACAGATACCTCCAAGGTCATGTGGCCAGCATGACTTCCCACTGGAGTGGTACCTATTGATCTATTAACATTTGCATGTTTTCAAACTGCTAGGTTGGCAGAAGCTGGAGCTAACAGCAGGAGCTCACCCTGCTCCCCGGATTCGAACCAGCAACCTTTTGGTCAGCAAGTTCAGCAGCTCAGCAGTTTAACCCATGGCACCACCAGGGGCCCCAATGCATTATTACACTTGAAGAACCCAGATTGCAATGGCTAAACTGCATTTTTATTATAGCACTTGAGGAAACAGAGTGAAATGGCTGGAGCCCATGAATCCATCTCAACAGAAGCAGACCCACTGAGGAAAAAATGGTATCAAGACACAGAGTGCATCCACACTATAGAATGAATGCTGTTTCACACCACTTGAACTATGGAATCCTGGGAGTTGTAGTCTAATGAGATATTGGGCAGAACGCGGTTGAGCACCACTTGAACTGCCATGGTTCAAGGCCATGGAATCCTGGAAGTTATAGTTTTGTAAGGTCTTTCACTATCTCTCTCAATGGGAGCTAAACTACAACTCACTCCCAGGACTCCATAGCCTTGAGCCATGGCGATTCAAGTGGTGTCAAACTGCATTTATTCTACAGTGTATATGCACACATTATTTATTTATTTATTTATTTTAAAACATTTATATTCCGCCCTTCTCACCCCACAGGGGACTCAGGGCAGAGCACAACATATATACGGCAAACATTCAATGCCGGGACATAAAACCATAAAATATATAGAAACATTAAAATCACTTATATTCAGAATAAAAGTTGTTTGAAAACCATCTCAGGACACCGTTTTGTCTCATTGCACTGCCCCAAAGGCTTGGTCCCATAGCCAGGTCTTCACCATCCTTCTGAAGGACAGGAAGGAGGGGGCTGACCTGATCTCCATAGCCGAGGGGCAATCACTGAGAAAGCCCTATCTCTCGTCCCCACCAAACGCGCCTGTGATGGTGGCGGGACCAAGAGCAGGTCCTTCTGAGAAGATCTTAGTTTCCACAGTGGTTCGTAAAGGGAGATGCGTTCAGACAGGTAAACTGGGCTGGGGCCATTTAGGACTTTACAGGCCAAAGCCAGTACTTTGAATTGTGCCCGGTAGCAAACAGGCAGCCGGTGGAGTTGGCGTAACATGGGAGTTGTGTGCTCCCTGTACGCTGCCCCAGTTATTAACCTGGCTGCCTCTCATTGGACTATTTGAAGCTTCCGAGCAGTCTTCAAAGGCAACCCCACATAGAGCGCACTGGAGTAATCTATCCTGGATGTAATGAGAGCGTGGACCACCGTGGCCACATGTTTAATCTTAATTAATCCAGTGACCCTGTTCTAGTTATAGTTAACAATATGATTTAAGTCTTTGGGTTTTATATTTCATCATGTATTTTTTAAGCATTGTTTGTTGTTTTGACTGTCTTAAGAAAGAAAAGGCAGCATACAAATAAAGAGGTGGAGAAGGGGAAGATGAAGAGCAGAAAGAATGGGAGGAGGAGGAAAATGATGATATAGGAATAGGGAGGTTGTACACAAAATACAACTTGCGTGAATGCATCACAATCACTTCATTTCCCCTGATTGGTGCAATGGGTTAAACCCTTGTGCTGGCAGGACTGAAGACCGACAGATCAGAGGTTCAAATCCGGGAAGAGTGTGGATGAGCTCCCTCTGTCAGCTCCAGCTCTCCATGCGGGAACATGAGAGAAGCCTCCCACAAGGATGGTAAAACCTCAAAAAATCCAGGCATCCCCTGAGCAATGTCCTTGCATATGGCCAATTCTTTCACAACAGAAGCGACTTGCAGTTTCTCAAGTCGCTCCTGACATGAAAACAAAAATTCATAAAAAGTCCCAAAATGTGAGAAACCATTGGAAAATGTATTTAAACCCTTTGGTCATTTCACCCATTGGGGAGAAAGTTTTCAAATCTTATTTATTTCTTTTCTTGCATGCATTAAAGAAGGAGGAAGAGAATCATCCAGGGAACCCCAACCTAACTGCAGCTGCTACTCCTAATATTAACAATAGCAATATTAGCAATACCAGCCCAAATCCCTCTCTTCCTCCCTGATGTTTGCTCAGGGCTCACTTGCCTATCGATTTTTGTCTTTATGCCACTGAAAGAGTCAGAAGGAAAGCCTAGTGCGCAACCAAGGCCACCCCAAGTGGGTTTGAGGCTAAGCAGGGATTGGCCCCAAGGTCTTCTTGGTGCAAAAAGGGATGCTCTTGTCCAGAGGAAGATAATCCAGCCCATAAAAGGCACCAAAGTTGCAATAATTTGGGTGCAATTTTAAATACTTTCATTATATTTCATGCTATTTTTTTGTTTTGCAAAAAGGTGTGCTTTTTGCGTGCAAGGGAAATCTGTACTGCAAACAAAGCCATGGGGTGAGGAGCACTAGTTTCTGCAACCGTGCAACCTTGCAACCAAAACATCTCTCGGTGCGTTTTGTTGGATCCAGACACAAAAACTTCTGTCTGAATGCTGGCACACAGGTCTTTCTTCTTCACAGGTATGGAAACACTTCAGCGTTTTGGAAAAAGGGAGGCTCATTTCGCCATCAGGGTAAATTGCACAAAATACAAAATACACTTTCACATTTTCGTCCATGTCCCGGCATCATTTCCAAATTTAACTTTACATCTGGTCTTCCCATTGTTTTTAATTGTGTGTTGTCTTATTGTTAATTGTTGCATACTTTATTGTCTATGTTTTTTTTATTTTAATTGCTTGTATTGTTGTTCTTATTGCTTGTATTGTTGTATTTGGACTCGGCCTCATGTAAGTCCCTTGGGGAGATGGTAGCAGGGTACAAATAAAGTGTTATTATTATTATTATTATTATTATTATTATTATTATTATTATTGCCCAAACTGAAGATGAAATCATAGAACTATAGAGTTGGAAGAGACTTCATAGGCCATCCAGTCCCACACACTGCTAAGAAGCAGAAAAATCGCATTCAAAGCACCTCCGACAGATGGCCATCCAGCCTCTGTTTAAAAACCTCCAAAAAAGGAGCCTCCACCACAATCCAGGGCAGAGAGTTCCACTGCTGAATGGCTCTCACAGTCAGGAAGTTCTTCCTCATGTTCAGGTGGAATCCCCTTTCCTGCAGTTTGAAGCCATTGCTCCGCATCCTAATCTCCAGGGCAGAAGAAAACAAGTCTCCTCCCTCCTCCCTATGACTTCCCTTCACATGTTTATACATGGCCCTCATCATGTCTCCTCTCAGCCTTCTCTTCTTCAAGCTAAACATGTCCAGCTCTTTAAGCCGCTCCTCATAGGGCTTGTTCTCCAGACCCTTGATCATTTTAGTCACCCTCCTCTGGACACATTTCAACTTGTCAACATCTCTTCTAAACTGCAGTGCCCATAGTGTAATTCCAGGTGCGGTCTGACCAAGGCAGAATAAATAATAATAAACTTTATTTATACTCTGCCACCATCTCCCCAATGGGGACTCGGGGTGGCTCACATGAGGCCAAGCCCTTATAATATAGAATATAACACAGTAAAATACAAATACAAAAACAAAAAGCACCAGAAAGTTAATTACAATAACAAAATGAAATAGTAAAACAATTTACACAATATAAAATCGAATAGGATGGGCAGGCCAAATGGACAAGATAAAATGATAAAACCCTGGGTGAGGTAGGAGTAAAAAAACATAAGAATAGGGGCGGAGGGGGGTAATAAAATGAGACAGTGGGGTCAGATTTCCAGTTTCGAATGGGGGGAAAGTGCATCGTAGGGGAACACTATAGATGGGGCAACACAGATGGTATAGATGGTCACTCTCCAAAGGCACATCGAAAAAGCCAGGTTTTCAAATTTTTCTTGAAATCTGCTAAGGAGGGGGCTTGCCTAATCTCACCATGACCATGGCATGACCATGGCATGACCATGGCATGACCATGAAATGAGAATGACATGACATGACCATGACATGAGAATGCGGGGACATGAGAGAAGCCTCCCACAAGGATGATAAAAACATCAAATCATCCAGGCGTCCCCTGGGCAACATCCTTGCAGACGGCCAATTCTCTCACACCAGAAGCGACTTGCTCCTGACACAACAAAAAACAAAACAAAACCAGGTAATGAGTTCCAAAGACAAGGAGCCACAGCGGAGAATGGAGGGGTAGCATGACTTCCCTGGATCTAGATACTAGACTCCTATTTATGTAGACCAAAATCCCATTGGCCTTTTGTTTGTTGTTTTTTTGCAGCCACATGACATTATTGGTTCATGTTTAACATAAACAACTATTTTTGTTCCTGGATTATAAATGTCATTTTCTAATTGATTCTATCATAAAAACATCAAAAAAGTTTATTAAATTTCAAAAACTTTGTTTTTGCAGGAAGGACATCCTGCAGCACATTTTGCTCTAGTTTTTCAATGAACATCTCATAGTGTCGCAATAATTCAACATAGTTTGTGGCAGCCACAAAAAATGAAGTTTCTATGGTAGAACAATTACTTTCAAAGTAAGTACCACACAATCAAACAGAAAATAATAGTTTCAGACCAGGAACAGAGTCTTTTTCCATTTTTGTTACAAAATGTGAATCAAAATAGCATTCAGGCTCTCTGTTGAAAACAGGGAATTGTCTCAAGCTCAGGCAGACAGACAGTAAATAGAATGGCCCAGTGATTCCGGCCATGAAAGCCTTCGACAATACAGTAAATAGAAAATGTTAGTACCAGACCCAAAGCCTGGATCCACTTACTAGGACTGTGGTGACAATGAGTGATCGGTTGGTCAAGGAATCTGTTACATTGGGACCTTGCCGTCGGGAGACTTCGGTGATGTTCAGTCCCTCCGATGGGCTCCAGATCCCCACCTGAAATTGAGAAAAGGCAACGAAGGATGAAGACACAGAGCCATGAAGGATGGGGGCTTTGGGGAAGAAGAGGTGTCCAGGCAAGCTGTGGGTCCCAGACATGAGAATTAGTCCATTAATTAGCACCCCACCTTGAGGATACTCAAAGGAAGGTGACACTATTTGCATTTCGGCTCATAACTCATGGAAGTTACATCCAACAGAAAGCAAGGTGGTTTTTGAAGAAAGGCTATTAAATGGTCGAATGTGCAGGTGAGCAACAAAAGCAACTCAAAATCTCCACTGATGCAAGATGTAGTGGAGTAAATCAGAGAACGTAAAGTGAAAGAGAAGGAAGAGGAGAAGAAAAGGGAAGAGGAGGAGGAGGTGGTGGTGGTTTAGTTGTTACATCCTTCTCCTCATGGCTTGAGGTGAGTAAAACTTAGCCAAAACATCCAACGTAAACAGATGAGGAACTGGACTGGAAGACATTGTTTTTTATAGATTTTAAAATAGTTTTTATAGTTTTTATTGCTTTTTTATATGCATTTGTGATGTGATTTGCTTTTGAACTGTGGTGTTGGAGGAAAGTTCTGAGAGTGCCTTGGACTGCGAGAAGATCCAACCAGTCCATACTCCAGGAAATAAAGCCCGATTGCTCATTGGAGGGAAGGATATTAGAGGCAAAGATGAAGTACTTTGGCCACATCATGAGAAGAAAGGAATGCTTGGAGAAGACAATGATGTTGGGGAAAATGGAAGGAAAAGGGAAGAGGGTCCTACCAAGGACAAGATGGATGGATGGGCTCCTTGAAGTGACTGGATTGACCTTGAAGGAGCAGGGGGAGGTGACGACCGATAGGGAGCTCTGGCGTGGGCTGGTCCATGAGGCACGAAGAGTCGGAAACAAGTGAACGTATGAACAACAACATGATGTGATGTATTTGTTTTAACTGATATATGTATATTTATAAGGCATCTAATTGTTGCCAGTTTGTATGCCGGCCTGAGTCACCTTCGGACTGAAATGGACGGGGAGGAAAATGACATAAATAAATAAATAAATAAATAAAGTACACAGAAGGCGCCAAACCAAGGACAGCAGTGTCCAAAATTAAATGCGTACATAAAATGTATCGGTCAAGGCCCTATAACTCAGGAAATGATGCATAAGAAAAGGGGAGGGATTCAGAGTTGCAGCAATTTCAAGAAAAGCCAATCCATACACAGACTCTCTTGTGGGTTTGTGGCAAAACGCAACCCCCCTCATTTGGAAAAACAAGGCAGATGATGGAATTAGCAATTTCTGGCAAAGCATGGCTTCCGAGGAGCTCTCCAAGGTGCTAAAACCTCATCTTGGACTTGGACAGCTCCTTCGACTCTTGGTCTTCCCTGCCCCATTGGGTGTGGGGAACCACAAGGCATCCTGCTCATTCCCAGTTTGCATGCACACTTGGAACAAAAGGCTTGCCAATTGGAAAGCCAAATTCTTCTCAGCAGAAAATATTGTGCATTTGATAATTGATATTTACATACAGAGAAAGTGTCTATAAACTCAATATGGGAGACAGCTGCCACATTTTGGAATGCTGGCCTGGGAATCTTCTGAGAGCCATGGAAGAGAGGGATTGGCCCCATTTTCCAAATGGCCCAGCCTTCAAATCAGGGAGTATCACACTTTGTACTTTCCTTTCTCTAAGTTAAACTTAACAAAGAATTGGCAAAAAAAGGAGTCCACCACCTGCTTGGGTTGTAGCCAAACGCAAAGAAGATGGAGGACACTGCCAAGTTTGGCCAGAGCCGATCCCTCTGTCCCTTTGCCTCTCTGTTTTTAATGAGCTATGTGTTTTAAAAAAGGAAGGAAATGGGAATGGATGATGCTGACTCCTGGAGGCAACTTGGCAAAAGACAGAGAGTAAACAGCCCTGCATGGGGCTGGAAAAGTCCGATTGCATCTCGTCTCTGCTACAGCTGTTGTTTCTAAATCCCCCAAACCCAGTCCTCCCAGTTGGATAATGGGGGTTTTGCAATTACACCTGGCTAATGCCGCCGTAAGCCAGCCACTTGCAGGAGGCCTGGCGAGATCAGAAAGCAGCGCCGCTTAAACCTCGGCGAATGGAAGCTATTAAACATAATGCAAAAGTACATATCAGGATTTGTGCTCGGTTTGGGCATGCCGTTAATTCAGATTATCTATTGACGGGAATTTAATGTCCTGACTCTGGAGAGATTTGACACAGACACTTTAAAGCCTCTCTTGAGCTCACAAAAGAGCTTAAACACACAGCGAAAGAGAGAGAGAGAGAGTAGGAAAAAGAGGAGGGAGGAAGAGAGGGAAAAGTGTGGGCTTGCAGGTGACTAAGGATTTGCTGTAAAAGAAGGGGAAAAACAGCACCAGGCATATTATTCCTCTAAAACAGTGTTTCTCAACCTTCCTAAGGCCATAACCCCTTAATACAGATCTTCATGTTGTGGTGACCCCCAACCATAAAATTATGTTTGTTGCTACTTCGTAACTTTAATGTTGCTGCTGTTATGGATCATAATGCAAATATCTGATATGCAGGATGTATTTTCATTCACTGGACCAAATTTGGCACAAATACCCGGTACACCCAAATTTGAATACTGGTGGGAATGGGGGGAGGGGATTGATTTTGTCATTTGGGAGTTGTAGTTGAGAGCATTTATAGTTCACCTACAATCAAAGAGCATTCCGAACTCCACCAATGATGGAATTGAACCAAACTTTCCACACAGAACTCCCATAACCAACAAAAAATACTGGAAGGGTTTGGTGGGCACTGACCTTGAGTTTTGGAGTTGTAGTTCACCTACATCCAGAGAGCACTGGAGACTCAAACAATTATGGATCTGGACCAAATTTGGCATGAATGTGCAATATGCCCAATGTGAACACTGTTGGAGTTTGGGGAAAATAGACTTTGACATTTGGGAGTTGTAGTAACTGGGATTTATAGTTTACCTACAATCAAAGAGCATTCTGAACCCCACCAAGGATAGAATTGGGCCAAGGATAGAATTGAGCCAAACTTCCCACACAGAACCCCATGACCAACAGAAAATACCGTGTTTCCTGACTGTCTTTGGCAACCCCTCAGGCATCCCCTCATGACCCCCCCCCCCCCAGGGATCCTGACCCCCAGGTTGAGAAACACTGCTTTAAAAGATATGCAAACGGGGCCTCAGTATGTTTCACAGTGACTAGATTTGATCAAAGTTGCATATTCAAGAAGGAACTATGCACCATAACTACTCCTCTCCTTCTTCTTTTAGTAAGCTGTCCCCTAGAAAATAATTATTTCTCTTTGCTCAGACCAATCAACCTGGGTTCTGATATAATATTGTAGCAAAGCGTTCCAAAAAGAAAGGAAGGAAGAAGGAAAGAGAAAGAAACAACATCACCAGGTGGCCTTGATTATGAGATGCAGGAAGAGACATAAACATTCCTCCATCTCCTCCTGAAAAACCCAGACAGACAGGAGAGAGTTGAAAGAGGATGTATTTTCTTATTTCTTTTATGCATTTTAAAGATACCAAAGTCGGGACATTGGGGTGGGGGTTGCGGGGAGGAATAATAATCTCACCAGGAAAAATATCTGCAATTTTTTGCAAAGGTAAAAAACAAGGAAATAAAAACCATAAAGCAATCAAATGGGTCTACAAGCAAATCAGGTTTGGACCCTCCAAGATGGCTAAACTGAGGCTGTTGTATTTTGGACACACTCCGAGAAGACTGGACCCACGGAAAAAGATTATAATGCTTGGTAAGGTTGAAGGCATCGAGGAAAGGGGAAAGTACATTCCAAATGGATGAATTCAACTGAGGAAGTCACAATGGCTGCCCTGTCTTTGCAAGACCTGAGCAGAGCTGTGGAGGACATTGCGAATTGGAGGTCTCTCATCCATAGGGTCACCATGGATGAGGCAATGACAACCACAAATCAAGCAACACCACTCCCAACACTCCCAATTCCAACTGACCTTTTCTAGCCCCTCTTCTTTGAGGCTGATGATGTCCAAGTCAAAATCGGTCCTCAGGCCACTGGTTTTGTTGAAGACGATGCGTCCTGTTAAGCCTTCCCATTGGGCCTGGAGGCAGAAAAAGAGGAAGGACGGAGGGGAAATGTTTGCATCTCTCTCTTTGCACACAGAGAGGACACGAGAGCCATCCTTCAAGCCCACAAATCACCCCTTGCTCCAAGTGGTGCAGTTCTTCATTTTAATTACTATGTTCCCAAAGGGCGCCATTAATTCATTGTGAGTCTCCCTTCTTGCTCACAGCATTGAGAGCCCCATAAATCCCAAGGCACTCCAAGGCCCTGATTTATGTTCATGCGCTCTTAGGGCTCAGAATGGGACGGGATTCACTGGACATTTACAAAAGTCTGTCCACTAGCCATTCAGATCTAAAGGTCAGAGGGAAAAGGAATATGCTGGAAGCCTCCTTGGAAACAGAGGCTGGTTGGCCAACTGTCAGGGGTGCTTTGATTGTGCTTTTCCTGCATGGCAGGAAGTTGGATTAGATGGCCCATGTGGTCTCTTCTAACTCTATGATTCTATTATTCTAAGAGACACCTCCCAGCCTCTTAAGCCACGCAGGCATTGCGAGATACAACAACAGGACATCTGTCCAGTCTAGGCCAGCTGGACACCCTTCAGGAAGCAGGAAATGGGCACTTGTGCATTTAACATTATGGACTTTGGTTCAAAACAAGGTTATTTCTGAAAACAAATAAATGAGAAGAAGATAATTGAGCAGAAGATTGGAAAGACTGTGGTTACCTTTCCATCTTTATAACATTGTATTAACAGGTTATAATGGGAATTAAAAGAACCTATGGCCCCTTATGGGAAGTCAAAGCAAATCAAGAATTGAGCTTGGAGCCCCCAGTAGCACAATGAGTTAAACCCTTGTGTTGGCAGGGCTGGTCGGCAGTTCGAATCCAGGGAGTGGGGTAAATTCCCATCTGTTGAGCTCTAGTTTCTCACGTGGGGACATGAGAGAAGCCTTCCACACAATGGTTTTAAAAAACATCAATCATCTGGGTGTCCCCTGGACAATGTCCTTGCAGATGGCCAGTTCTCTCACACCAGAAGCGACTTGCAGTTTCTCAAGTCACATCTGATACAAAAAAAATAAATGACCAGTTGCTTTATTTAATTTCATAAACCCAAAACGTTATGGAAACCAATCACACAAGTAACTCTATTTGTGATCCACGAAGATGCATTCATGTCTATCTGCTTCCATCTGTCTGTCTGTCTGTCTGTCTATCTATCTATCTATCTATCTATCTATCTATCTATCTATCTATCTAATAGAGATCCAACTTTTTCTCAGCAGTGAGAAATACAGGGCTTTCTCAACAGAGAAACCTTTGCACAAAAGTCTGATTTCTCCATAGAAAATGCTTTTTTGCCTCCTGTACAGGAAGCCCATCTGCACCAAAAACCATGTGCAATATTTTCCATGCAAAACAAGTTTTATGTTCTGGTTCAGCCAGAAGGAACATCACCAATATCTTCTCCATCAATACTTTTATTAGTTTCTGCAATGCTGTGCAAAATAATGCATGGCACCAGGCAGAGGAGAAGGAAGCTTCTCTGTGAGGTTGGCTTAATGGGCATCAGGAAAAATAAAACTTAGAGAGTTCCCTGGGGCTCTGCTTTCCAAAAGGAATTCAATGCAGAGACTGGATATGCTTCCGCAGCCCATCATCCCATGAAATGTCATACTGCAAACATACTTCCTTGTGGTGAAGCTTCTCCTCCATTGAGATTGCCACCCCTTCTGACCCCAAAGCATGTGCCAGCCTCCTTTTATCCCCATCCCCAGCCTTTTTCCTCCTGGAGCCATGCTCCATGCTGTGCACCAGAAAAAGCCACACAGGTTGCAGCCTTCGCAGTGGGACCGTCATTGGCTTCTTGTGCAGAGAAATGCCTTCTGCTCAATACCTCCCCAAGGAGCCCCACTGCTTCTTTATGGTTTCTGCTTCCAGTAGCAGATTTTGCAAATGAGCAACTGGTTGGAAACACCGGGAAGCAACAACATCCCTGGGAATAAAAGGGAGCTCAGCTGGAAAGAAGGCGCATCTGCAGAAGTAAAGCAGGAGGTTCTGTGCCAACACACCAATGCTCTCTTTCCTCACTATTTTGGCCCACACAGAAGGAGCCAGAACACCTAGATTGCATTCCCAAGAAATTTGGGGCAATGCCTTGAGACCTTCACACTTGAAGGAGTGCCTCTCTCTTTGTATGGGGCTGCCCAGAAGTTTGGAGTATCTCTTCTACCTTTTGTCCCAAGAGGACGAGACCAAAGCCAGAGTCTCAGAGGAATTAACCCAGGGGCCCAGTATTGAAAGTTGCCCTCTTGGCCACATCTGTTCCAGTGCCAAAGGTGTGTTATAGAACACTTCTCAGGGTTAATGGCTTTTAGTATCTGCTCTTTGCAGAACTAGAAACCTGATGATTGAAGGAAAGTTTCAGGTGATGGTGCAAAATTCTTATTTAGGGGACACTGTGCTCATTTTCCTCATCCCCTCCAGACTCCCAGTACTCTGCTGTCAGTAAATGCTGTGGCCAGAGATCCATACTGTATCCAATGAAGCATTTCTGTCTTGATATTACCATCACTTATGCATCCAGACACAACTACACCAGGAGCATATGGCCTCATGCACACACTGGAGGCCTTGCATCTTTTGGGGCCACGGGTAGCGGAATGGGTCAAACCCTTGTGCTGCTGAATTGCTGACCTGAAGGTTGGCAGTTCAAATCCATGGGATGGGGTGAGCTCCCACTGTTAGCCCTAGCTCCTGTCAACCTAGAAGTTTGAAAGCATGCAAATGTGAGTAGATCAATTGATACCGCCTCAGCAGGAGAGGCAAAAAGATGCTCCATGTAGTCATGCCAGCCACATGACTGGGAGGTGTCTGTAGACAACGCAGGCTCCTTGGCTTGAAAATGGAAATGAGCGTTTCCCCCAGAGCCAGAGATGAGCACTACCTCCAGAGCCAGAAATGAAAGGAGAAGCCTTTGCCTTTGTTTGTGTATTTGTGTTTCATTATATTTCATTGTAACAGGGTATTGAATGTTTGCCTTCTCAAGGAGAAGGGCAGAGTATAAATAAGAAGTTGTTGTTGTTGTTGTTGTTATTATTATTATTATTATTATTATTATTATTATTATTATGCATCCATTGGATTCTTGATAACACTATGTAACAAAATTTGAAAAAAATCTATTCCAGGTTTGAAAGTGTTATTTCCTGTTTAAGTGTGCTGTAATTACTTTGAAATCAGTTCTTCTACTCCAGAAACTTTGTTTTGCGGCTGCCACAAAACTCTATGACTCTGTGAGATGAGATATTCATTGAATAACTAGAGCAAAATGTGCTGCAGGATGTCCCTCTCGTAAAAACAAGGTTTTGACAGTTTAATAAACTTTTCCCATGTTTTTGTGATAGAACCAATTAAGAAATGACATTTATAACCCAGGAACAAAAACCATGTTATATAGTGTAATCCCCCTTAATCCTGACTTCACACCCCTTGAAACCTTGGCTGGACAATGGACCCACCCAGTCAATCTTCTAATGTTGGGCCAATGGTGTTACTTGACACAGGGTAGCAGTGTGGACTTGAGAGCCATGTTGGCCTCCATGCCTTCTCTAACAAAGTACCATATACCCAAGTCAGGAGTGGAAAGCAGCACAGAAGAGCAATCTTGGAAGCATTGGGTCCCAGCGCTTTGGCCATAATGTCCCTTGGGGTCTTCATCGAATAATGAAACTGCAACTGGGGGGGGGGGGCGGAGAAGGGGCAAGTGGAGGCCTGGCCTACCTTGTTTATCTAGAGCGCAACAAAGCTTGAGGGCAAACATTCAAGTAGATCAGCTTCCATCTCTCTGTTGCTTCTTCTCCTTTTGTCTGTCAGCCGCAGATGTGTACCAGCATGGAGTGCCTCTCATTTCCATGCAGACAATGGTGAGGTCAGCCCTTGAATGTCCTCCATGGCAACTCGAGTGGCACTCCATGCAATCACATCCACTTCATCCAGGAATCACTGATATTTCTGGCGTCTGGAGGCCACTCAGGAGGCAGGGCCAGGTGGAGAGGCCATACTGGCTGAGGTCATGGGATAACTGGCCTGAGGTCAGCTCAAAGGATTTTGAGGTCTCCAGGACGCCTTCATGGGGGTCAGGGTCAAGGAGGGGCCTGCATCTTCAACCATGAACTGGAACCTCCCAGCTCCCTCTATAGACCCAAAATCTGATTTCTTCCTCTTGCCATGTTTGGAGATGGAGGCCATCGGCAATGCTTCCAACTGGGACTTCCTTGTATTGCAACTCACACAATAACAAGCTGCGGCTAGGAATGTAAGTTTCCATTTTGTATTTTTCCTAAATGTTTTGGCACAACATTTATCCACAGTTCATACTTTTTTTTGTTTTTTTTTCTGGGAAGGGGATTGTTTGCATAAAAAAGATTCCATTTACAAGCAAATAAATCCCACCTAAATGTTAGGAAAGTTTGACAGTGAAATAGACTGCCTTGGATGCTGGTGGAGTGTCCTGCACTAGAGGTTTTTAAAGGTCTCTCAGAGGTACTTTAGCTGTGGGTTCCTACATAGCAGAAAGGGGTTAGACTAGATGCCTATTGGGTTCCACCTCTCTATGCTTTTGTGATTCAGCAACCCAGAGTCATGGAAGGCACCAGACAGACACACTGCCTGATGAGAAATTGTGTTGAGGAGAACCTTCCCATGACTATGATGCCATTCAAGATGCCCCCCCCCCCCCTCAGAGCAATGTATTTGAAGTGGGCACCAAGGTACAATATTTATTTTTGTTTAATGTAAAGAAATGCTGACACTTGGGATGTCACAAAGTCCCCCTTTGACTCCTTGCCTTCCTAGCACAAGGGTCTGCCAAAGAAGCCCCTTCCCTGCTTCGCCGGCCCAAACCCTGCTTGCTGCCCCCCTTTCATGCCAAACCCGGGTGGGGAAATGGAGAGGGCTGCTGGCAAGGCAGTGGTAATTGCCCAGAAAATATGAAGTGAGTCCCTTCCACTCCCCTGACGCTCAGCTCGCTCCTGTCTGTGGTTCTGCCAAGAGAGGAGCCTCCGTCGGCAAACACAGAGGTGCGCCGGCTGCCAATTTCCCTATGATAGTCTCCGCTATTCACTAAGTAGCTGACAGATGTGCCAAGCAAACACTCCTCAACAAGGCAGAGAGGAAAGGCACACACTCACCCATACAAATGATGTTTGCATTTTTCTCTGAAACTATTGCAAGTGTCAGATAGGAGAAGGGGGGAGGCTCAATGCTCAGAAAGGCAGTGCATACATTGGATGTGGGAGGACCCATGTTCTCTCCCAAAGCAGCTCCACTTTATGGCCATGTTAGGATGGGAAGACCTAGCTGGATCTATGGGGAGTGGAATCCTAAGGGCATCCCTCCCCTCAAAATAGAAATTCTGCTTTTGCAAGTGGAGTCTTCCTTCAGGCTCCAAATTTCTAACATGGCAGTTATGCAAAATATCATTGATGCATCCAAAGAAAAGGGGCAGTCAAAGCAACTGAGGGACTACAGACACAGGAAATACAGAAGAGTTCCAGATGAGAAAAAATGTTTCCTACCTTGCTTTTTGGAAATTTGGAGACTGAAGCAAATTTGGAGACTGAAGGAAAAATGACTGGGATAGAACTACTATTTGGGAGGCAAGGATTTCGTTGCTTGCCATGGCTACTCTCACTTGGAAGCTTGGAAAAGACACCGACAACTACAGTAGACCAGACCAAGCTGATTGGTCCAATGGATTGATTCATCAGCTCTTAGTGGAGATCCAACAGATCTCAGCTGGCGATAATGACAATAGTCCACCCCAAGAAAGGTATCCAAGCCAGCCTGAAGACCCAGTCCTGCTCCTGAGTCCTAACTACCCTTCTGAAGAATCCCTCGGTAGTTTCAATTTTCTGGCTCCAACAGATGCTTGGTGCTTTATCTTTGGAATGCTAACTGTTCATCCAGCTTCTCGTGTTACAACAAGGCCTGACTCTTGAGTCCCAGAGGATTGAACACAAAGAGACCAGCAATGCAATCAATCCAGGCTCATTCCTGGAGGAGGCTACAACTTTCTGTTGCACCAAAGATTTCCTCCAACATAGACAGGAAAAGAGATACTTTCCACACCAGCTCCCATGTTTCTGCAATGGTCTGACAATTCAGGGCATTCAGGCCCCGCCAAATATCCTAGCCAATTTCTAAAGCAAAAACCAGAGAGAAGCCCTAGGGTCTTTCCTTTCCTTTCCTTTTGTTTCCTTTCATTTCATTTCCTTTTGTTTCCTTTTGTTTCCTTGTCTTTCTTTGTCTCTCCTTTCCTTTCTTTCCCTTTCATTTCCTTGTCTTTCCTTGTCTTGTCTTTCCTTTCCTGTCTTCCCTTCCCTCCAGAAGGGGCCCCTCTCCTTACCTCTTTGATGAAGTTCATGAAGCGCCCGCCGAAACGCCAGGCCTTGTGCCGGTGGCACTGGAGGGAGTTGACAGTCATCTGGGGGGCCCGCTGGTAGCACACAGAGACAATGTGGACGGCGTCATACAACAGGGCAGCATCTGTCTAAAATGTAGGGGAAGGACGTTGTCTCCGGTCACGGTGCTGTGGGCCAGGAAGGGGCCAACCCAGAAGGAGGGGTCCATTCCTCTCCCTCCCAGGTGGGTCCCCAAGGAGAAAGGGGGTAGATATCAATGGGTACACTTAGAGGGACCCCGTACCATCATGATCCCCGATATCAGCCCTGGCTCCGGTTTGGGTGCAGTCTGCAGCCGCTCCATGGACCACTTGTCGATGATGTTGGATACATGGGGGTTCTCAATGTTCAGGATCCGGAAACCCGTCAGGTTGACTCCGGAGTAGCGATACTGCTCCAGATCCAATGCATAAAGGTCCTTTGGGGAAAGGGAGAGAAACCACACTTCAGAGTCTTGGCTGCTCTCTACTGAGATTGAGGCGCTTTTTTGCTGGGGATGTCAGCTAAGTCCAAGACCCTCTGGGAATTTGCATGCATTTTACGGAAGCCCAGTGGAAGGATTGGCCAGTGGATAATAAAGGATAATGAAGGGAATCACGGGCCGCATAGGGAAGCTGATGAAGAAACAACCTGCAAACTAGCTACAGACCCACTAAGAAAATCCAACAAATGCTATGTTCAGAAAAGGGCAAGAGTGATCCTCTCACCTCTGCAGGAGTCTATTGTATACCATGCAGCTGTGGGCAAGTCTACATAGGAACTACTAAATGCAGCATTGTCAAAACATGAATCAAGGAACATGAAAGGCACTGCTGACTAATTCAACCAGAGAAGTGAGCCATAGCAGAACACTTGATGAACCAACATGGACACAGCATAATATTTGAGAACACAGAAATGCTGGACCACTCTAATAACCACCATGTTAGACTACACAAAGAAGCCATTGAAATCCACAAGCATGTGGACAATTTCAACAAAAAGGGGGGGGAAACCAATGAAAATGAACAAAATCTGGCTTCCAGTATTTAAAACAACCCTCTAAAATACTGGATACTGGATAACAGTACTGGATAACAGTAAATCAAGAAAAACACTCAAAAACAGGGGAATTCCAGACAAGAAACAATCAAGGCCAGCTAATCACCTCCCAACAAAGGATTCCCACAGGCAGTAAGAAGCCAGAACTTCAAATGCTAATCAAGGTGGACAATTAAAACATTCACACTTGCCTCGAACAGACAAGAGTTCTTTCTCTCACCCTGGACATTTCACAGATATACGAACCCCAATTTCCTACTTTCCTACAGACCTCACAACCTCTGAGGATGCCTGCCATAGATGAGAGAAAGAGAGGAGAGAAAGCTTCTGGAACATGGCCATTCAGTCTGGAAAACTCACAACAACCCAGTGACTCCAGCCATTTATTTATTTGTTTATTTATTTGTCATGTCAGAGCAACCAGTCCATTATATTACATTTCTAACAGAACAAAGCAAACAAACAGACAAATACAAAACTTGTGAGTTTGGTAGTTGGTTAAATGTCCTTTGACCAGTATCTGGCCACTTGGAGTGCTTCCTGGTGTTGCTGCAAGAAGGTCCTCCATTGTGCATGTAGCAGGGCTCAGGTTGCATTGCAGCAGTGGTCAGTGGTTTGCTCTTCTCCACACTCGCATGTCGAGGATTCCACTTTGTAGCCCCATTTCTGAAGGTTGGCTCTGCATCTCGTGGTGCCAGAGCGCAGATTGTTCAGTGCCTTCCAAGTCGCCCAGTCTTCTGTGTGCCCAGGGGGGAGTCTCTCATTTGGTATCAGCCATTGGTTGAGGTGCTGGGTTTGAGCCTGCCACTTTTGGACTCTCGCTTGCTGAGGTGTTCCAGCGAGTGTCTCTGTAGATCTTAGAAAACTATTTCTAGATTTAAGTCGTTGACTCCAGCCATGAATGCCTTCAACAATAAATCAAGGTACTTATTTCGGAGGAAAAATGTGTTTTGGTATTTGTTCTGTGCACAATTTGTTTTGCACAGAAAATAATACACAGAAATATTTTTTTTCCTGTGCAGAAAATGATGCTCTCTCATCAAAACAGGCTTGTGCAAATTCTGCACAGAAACAGCCCAGAATGCCATAATGGAAGAAACCTTTCTCATAGCAAGAGGGAAATGGCTAAAATCACTCCTTGCTTCCCTCAAAAAAAAAACATTTCTCTGGAATGGCATCCCAAATGCTGATGAATCCAGTGAGTTTCCAAAAACAATAGGCAGTGTGTTTTATGTTATTTGAGTGGTTTAATAAAGGTATTGCAACAGTAAATCTTTTTCTTGCTTTTTTATGTTTTAGAATACCTTTAAAATTAGATTGTTTTCATGGCTGAGAATCTTTTGTTCCTCTCAGAGCAGATAGGCACTTAACAGTTTTCAGGGGCATCTTTGACCACTTTTAAGCAAAAAAGACTCGCACACAGCATCTTAAGAGCTTTAGAACTAGAGATCTTTTTAAGGTCTCTAAAACCTTCCCATTCTATTCTTCCTCTGCAACATATATCTCTTGATCCCTGACCTTTTGGGTGGCCTGGGATTTACCCTCTCAGTTTTGCACAGCATACCACCTCCAGACTGATGGGCAAACAGAGAGGATCAACCAGTGCTGGAGCAATATCCGAGATGCTACACAAACTACCAGCAGAATAATTAGTCAAAATATTTGACCTATGCTCAGTTTGTGTACAATAATTCCATGCATGTGATGAGATAGTTTACGGTCACAATCTCTGCACTTTGCCAACCCCAGAGGTCATCCAGTCTGACCCAGTCCTCTTTACAGAATGGATGGCATGCATCAAAGATATATATATATATATATATATATATATATATATATATATATATATAGCCTATAAAGACCTAAACGGTTTTGGCCCAGTTTACCTGTCCGAACGTATCTCCCTCTATGAACCATCTAGGACCTTAAGATCATCTGGGGAGGCCCTGCTCTTGATCCCACTGCTATAGCAGTCATGTTTTGTGGGGGATGAAGGACAGGGCCTTATCTGTGGTGGACCCTTGGCTGTGGAACGAACTCCCTAATGAGGTTAGATCTGCTCCCTCCCTTCTGACCTTCCAGAAGAAGCTTAAATCCTGGTTATGGGATCAAGCATTCACATAATAGTTTGTTTTTTTACTGGGAAGACAAGATGTTATTATACCATACTTGGACTGTTTTGGACGAGTGCAGCATTTTTCTGAATGAAGCACAGAGTGTTTGAGGACTGGGACATCCGCAGGGATACCAAGGTGCTTGTTTATAAAGCTATTGTCCTCCCAACCCTGCTATATGCCTGTGAGACGTGGACTATCTACAGACATCACATGCAATTCCATCAACGTTGCCTCCAAAAAATCCTGCAAATCTCTTGGGAAGACAAGTGGACAAATGTCAGTGTTCTGGAAGAAGCAAAGACCACCAGTATTGAAGCAGTGGTCCTTCACCATCAACTCCGCTGGATGACCATGTTGTTTGGATGCTTGACCACCATCTCCTGAAGCAGTTGCTCTACTCCGAACTCAAGAATGGAAAACGGAGTGTTGGTGGGAAAGAAAAGAGATTTAAAGATGGGCTCAAAGCCAACCTTAAAAACTCTGGCATAGACACTGAGAACTGGGAAGCCCTGGCCCTTGAGCGCTCCAGCTGGAGGTCAGCTGTGACCAGCAGTGCTATAGAATTTGAAGAGGCACGAATGGAGGGCAAAAGAGAGAAATGTATATGGATGTATTTATTATGTTTTATTTTATGTTTGGCATTGAATTGTTGCCTGTTTGGAAGCCATTCTGAGTCCCTCCTTGGAGGTCTAGAAGGACAGGGTATAAATGTTGCAAATAAATAAATAAATATTAATGTCCAGTAATCACACAGGTACTTGATGAGGCTAAGCAGCTTACAAAAACAAAGCAGACAAATGCAGCAAACAAATGCAGCTACGATCGGAAGCCATGCCAACAGGTATATCTCTCAACCAAATACTTAAAAGGTAGACAACCTGCCAAGAAATTGGCAGCCAGGTACAACGGACCCTTTAAGGTTAAAAGGCTAGTCAATGAAGTGTCTGCAGAACTAGAATTCCCTAAGACCTGCAGAATGATTCACCCAGTATTTCACTTCAGCCTGCTCAAACCATCTGCCGAAAGCAGCCAATGGAACCCAGTCAAACCCCCACCCCTACCCATTATGAAAGGAAGTAACCAACATTATGAGGTAGTGGAAATCTTAGACTCCGGGATTTGGAAAAACACCCTATAGCATTTCTCCCCAGTGAATCTGAGTGGGTAAAGGAATCTGACATAAACGCACCCCACTCAGCAAGTGGTTCCACACACAATACCCACAAATATCTCCAAACCATGGAGTGGGAGGAATGCTTTTGGAGTGGGCATGATGTCATGATCTCTATCTCATGCCATCCAACTATATCCAACTATCAGCCATTCTGACACAGAGCACATGGCCATATGAACATGGCCATAAGAACCAGCCATAAAACCCAATTGACCTGAGGTGGGAAGATAGTGGGCTCTGGAATGTGGAAAGAGGCAACCTCCAGGTGATTTATGATATTGTAGCTAGGCCTATATAAAAGGGCATTGAGAGACTCTTGTATTCCAAACAATACAGAGGTATGGTATCTTCAGCCTATGTGTATCTTGGCGTGTTCTTTCTTTCAAAACTAATCCACAGCAGCACAGTGGGAGCTGAGAAACCTTACACAGAGGCACTTTGCTTGCTTCTGTGACCGACTTCCCCATCTGAAAACGATTGCATTTTTTGAAATTAATGGAAGGGAGTGCTAGGCCTGGCATGGGGCCTGGTTCTGCCCCTTGGCACACAGTGCAAGTGGCGCAGGGGGAATCTGGGCCAGCCCTGCTCTAATACATGCTTTAATGCCTATCTTCACTCTGCAGAGCTGCTCTGGAGTATGAACGTCTGCCCTTCAAGGGCCTGAGATCCTGACCTTACATCCGAATGGAGCCAAAGGGAGACAGGAGGGGAGAAAGGGATATTGGCAGCATCCCCAAGGAAAGGAGAAATCATTCCAAGGAGAAACTGGTTTGGATCACAGATCTTGTGCTTATATAAAAAACCAAACCAAGCTTTGCTTTCTGGAATTTATTTTGGAATATTTTCAAGCCATGGATGTTGGATGCAGGAACCACAGAAACGGAGGGTTCTGGACTGGACCCTTCACCAAATGACAAAATCTAAACTTCCTTAGGATTGGGAACTGGTAGTTAAAGCAGTATCAAAGTTTGATATTGCATGCCATTGATCTTGACTTAAATCAAGAAATAGTTTTCTAAGATCTACAGAGACACTCGCTGGAACACCTCAGCAAGTGAGAGTCCAAAAGTGGCAGGCTCAAACCCAGAACCTCAATCAATGTCTGACACCAAATGAGAGACTCCCCCCTTGGGCACACAGAAGACTGGGCAACATGGAAGGCGCTGAACAGATTGCGCTCTGGCACCACGAGATGCAGAGCCAACCTTAAGAAATGGGGCTACAAAGTGGAATCCACGACATGTGAGTGTGGAGAAGAGCAAACCACAGACCATCTAGTGCAATGCAACCTGAACCCTGCCACAAACACAATGTCAGAACCTTCTTGCAGCAACACCAGAGGCACTCCAAGTGGCCAGCTACTGGTCAAAGGACATTTAATAGAATACCAAGTCTGCAAACTTCGTGTTTTGTTTGTTTGTTTGTTTTTTAATGTATTACAACTGTTTTGGTTCGCTCCTGACATGATAAATAAATAAATTTGCACAATGTGAATGCACCTAGATGGGGCTTCCCAAGGGTGTATGCACTGGTATTCCATTAACCACTAGTCAAAAAACATAGTATGGATTGTCGATGTTGCAATCCCAGATGACAGCAGGATTGAAGAGAAACAACTGGAAAAGCTGACATGATAGGAGGATTTAAAGATCGAACCGCAAAGACTCTGTCACAAGCCAGTCAAGGTGGTCCCAGTAGTGATTGGCATGCTGGGTGCAGTGCCTAAAGACTTTGGCCTGCACTTAAACACAATCAGCGCTGACGAAATTACCATCTGCCAGTTGCAGAAGGCCACCTTACTGGGATCTACATGCATTATTCGCCGATACATCACACAGTCCTAGACACTTGGGAAGTGTCCAACGTGTGATCCAACACAACAGTCAGCAGAGCGTCTGCTGTGGACTCATCTTGTTGTGTTTCAAATAATAATAATAATCCTTCTCTCCTGGCCTTCCCATGCAAAACAAGGCACAGATATATAATGGAAGGAAGGGAAGGGAATGAAAAGAAAAGAAAAGAAAGGACTCGGAAAGGCTATTTTTTTAAAAGAAATTATCCTGGCAAAGTAAAAACTCAGTGAGCAAAATATAATGATTTTCCTGACAAGGGTACCTTTGGCTTCTCCCACAATTTCCCACAATGTTGAGGAAACATTTCATTGTAAACCCGGGAGTAACTAATACCAATACACTACAGAAATGGCCAAACATCCAGATGATTTCAAAAAATCCACTTCCCCATCACCTCATGAAACATTTTAAAAGAATGCTGGCCCTCACGCTTAAAATATGCAAAGAATTCTCTATCCTACACTTGAGGCTAAACTAATGTGATGAAAAGAGTGGCTTCCCGGATTTTAAGTGTAGCACTCAGTGGCATTGAGTAAATGTGATGAAGTGGGTAGTGTATGTGCCCTCTTAATCTCGTTCTTCACACAGAGCACCTTTTTGCCACATTAATGGAGCCCTTCCCTTCTCCCCATTTCCAAAATCTCTTCCTGGATGCCCTCCTGCCAGGTTTCACACTCAAAGCCCAGCTGTTCCCTGGAACCGATCGCGAAGGAGGCTCCTTTGGGGACCTCTTAGCGAAACACAACAGACTAATCCGGCAGAAAGCAACAGCTCCGGAAAAAACAGCGCCTGGAGGAACGTTCGGCTTAGGAAATATCTTTCCCCCGATACAGCTGTTATTTTGGGGAAGTGGCACTAATTGTAATTGCTTATCTATTAATTTATTATAATCCAACTTTGCAACACACCCCTTTTTCATCTTCACCTTCAGGCTTTCTTTTTCCATAAACTGATTTGCAAGTAAATAAATAAAATAAAACCTAAAACTTGTTTTATTCCCAGAGTTTCATCTGGGCCCAATTAATGGGAGGTTATCAAAGAATGATGCAGAGCTGCGGCAAAGAGATAACAGTGGCAGCAGTAATTAACACGTTGCTTTATTTGGGAGGAAGGGGGCAATTTTTGTCTCTCTCTATATATATGTGTGTGTGTGTGTGTGAGAGAGAGAGAGAGGACTGAATGAAAAGTAATGCCTCCACCTTCGTTACTTGGGTTTGGATGGGAATATTTTAATAAATCAAACGCAGAAATAATCCTTAGAATGTGCTCTTTAACTGCCACTATTCACTTTTCCAAATAATCACCAGACAATTGGATACATTTCTGCCAACAATGAACAGGTTTTCTGAAGCTGTCACAGAAGAAGTCAACACTTTGTCTCCGCGACCAGCATCTCACAGTTCTCTCAAGGTCTTCATCAGAAGCATAATGATGTCCCTGCAGATCTTCTTTCATTATCGGGAACAGATGGAAGTCAGAGGGTGCTAAATCTGGACTGTATGGAGGATGTAGCACAGTGGTGAGATCCAGTCTCTGAAGTTTCAAGTCTGTACGCTTTCATTTCAGGCATCAGCATCCTGGGTACCCATTGTACAAAGATCTTCCGATAGCCAAGCAAAGCAATAATGTGACCCACACGTTCTTGTGAAATGCCGATTATGCTTGAAATTTCTCTCTGAGTGATACGACATTCGTCCTGAGTCAATCTGTCAACCTTTTGCTTGTGAAACTCAGTGGTTGCTGTCACAGGACATCCAACTCTTTGTTTGTCATGCAAGTCAGATGTTCCCACCTCAACATCTTTAAACTTACTCGCCCAACAATGCACAGTACTCACATCAACACAATCACCATAAACAGCTTGCATTTTCTGATGAATTTCCTTTGGGGTGACACCTTCTGCTATCAAGAATTCAATGACTGCACGTTGCCTAAGTCACATTGACTGACCATCTGCTCAGGGTTCCATACTTTGCACTTTAACAACACAACCATTCAATGCTAAGGCTTCCCACTGAAATGGAACTGTAGAGGAGAGTCTATTGAACAAGCTAGTACCTGCCACATACCAGTACTGCCATCTGTTGAGGAGTTACGAAGGTGGGGGCATTACTTTTCATTCAACCTTTGTACATATATTTAATACAGATGTTTTCATAGATGGGATTTTGCCTGGTGGGAAGAGATGAAGATCTCATATTTTGGCTGCCTTATAGTCTATGATGGAAGGAAGAAAGGGTGTGCAAGACACAAATGGGAATATTCATGATTTTCCCTATAGATTCCCCCTAAATTTAATCTTCCACTCTTAACTCTCCCTTATGAGAGAGGAGCTGTATTGGACTACCTCACGAGACTGTTGTAAGAGCAAAGGCACAATGGGAAATTCAGCCGAGGGGGCTGGGGACTAAATTGTGAAACAAATGCAGTTTGGCCCCTCTTCAACTGTCAGGGTTTAAAGTTTTGGGAGTTGTACTTTGACAAGATCTTTCTCCTCTTTTGTGCTCATCAAACTGCAACTATTTCATCACACTAGAGAATGAATCCACTTTAAATCTGGTTTCTGCCACAGGCAGAATTCTGGGGTTTGTAGTTTAGTGAAGCTATTAAAGGCTCATCCCTAAACTACAACCCCCAGAATTCTGCAGGAAGCAGCAACTGGATTTAAAGTGGATTCATTCTCTAGTGTGATGAGGTTATAAGTCTCGGGATTCCACAGCACTGAGCAATGGCAACTGCATTAATTCTACAGTGTAGATTCTGCACAAGCTGCCGAATCCCATCAGCCTCCAAATAGGTTCTACATTGTGTTAGCTGCTCTCAGTTTCCAACTAAAACCCAGAGTGGATTCACATGGGAGCCACTTTTGCCACTGAAGGGAAACCTAGACACATGTTTTATGTTCTCATCTTTACAAAAATCTCCTCTTTGGATTAGAAAGTGGCTGCAAAAATCAGTTCAAAAGCTGTTAGATGAGGGCTGTATTTGAGTTTCCTCCATTTCCTGATTTCTCTGGCCAACAACAACAACTTTCTTGCCTCCTGTAAGAATCTAGCCATTTCCAAAGCCTGCACATTTTTCTGAGTTAGCGAAGTAAACATATTAAATGTTTTTCAGATGGACAGACGGATATATTAAATAGATTGCATAGATCTAGATGATACACAGCCATGATGGCTTCCTCCTGTCCTTGTGGCTCTTCAGCAGTGAAACTGTCCAAGTCTGGCCAGATGCCCGTACAAGATGCAAAACTAAACTGGGGGAGGAAATAGCTTGGGGCTGGATCCGCTCTTGAGGCGCATGTGTGCGCTTCGCTGAGCCAACATGTAACAGGCTGGCTGCATTTTTTTAACACAGAAAATATTAATAATAGTCACAGACCTGCTGGTCTATTTTGAGCGGCAGCATTGCGGTCATCTGCTCTTTTCCCAGTCTGAGCAAAAGCAAGCTCTGTTCAGGGCTTTTCAGTTTGTTTGTTTGCTTGTTTATTAAATATCCCTAATGTTTGCTTTCAGTCTATTGTGGCACCTAGAGCCACGTGCAAGAGAAGATGTCATTTGGGGAAGGAGGGGAAGCGTTGTTCTTCAATGGCAAATTGAAAACAACTTCAAAACCCAATTGAAAGCAAACCAAAAAAAAATAAAACATAGAGGGTTTGGAAGCTAAAGGAAGATGGATGCATGGGCCTTACCAAAGTGGTGAAGATGAAGTGGTAGTATTCCGTCATCATCCCCATCGCCATGGCCTGAGGAAGAAAACAGATGGAAAACTGTTAGAAAAGCAGCAGAAAGGAGGATTCAAAGCTATTGTCCAAAGAGAGGCCTTGTTGGTGGCCGGTTTGGCTGCCTCCTTGGCATTTTAGTAAAGGTAAAGGTTTTCCCCTGACATTAAATCTATTTGTGTCCAACTCTGGGGGGTGGTGCTCATTTCCATTTCTAACCCGAAGAGCCAGTGTTGTCCATAGACACCTCCAAGGTCATGTGGCCAGCATGACTGCATGAAGCGTCATTACCTTCCCACCAGAGCAGTATCTATTGATCTGCTCATATTTGTATGTTTTCAAACCGCTAGGTTGGCAGAAGTTGGGACTAACAGCTTACGGCACTCCCTGTCCACCAACATTCCATTTTCCGTTCTTAAGTTCAGAGTAGAGCAACTGCTTTGGGAGACGGTGGTCAGGCATCCAGACAATGTGGCCAGGCCAGCGGAGTTGATGCTGGAGGACCATCACTTCAATGCTGGAGGTCTTTGCTTCTTCCAGCACACTGACGTTTGTCCACTTGTCTTCCCAGGAGATTTGCAGGATTTTCCGGAGGCAGCGCTGATGGAATCGTTCCAGGAGTTGCATGTGACATCTGTAGGGATGTGTTATTGCCCCAACCCTATTCTCCATCTTCATCGCTATGATACTTCCCCTTGTTGATGGGAAGCTTCCCACCAGAGTGGAAATCATCTATCGGACAGATGGCAAGCTATTCAACCTCAGCAGACTGAAAGCCAAAACCAAGGTTACAACAACATCTGTTATAGAACTCCAGTATGCTGATGACAATGTCATCTGTGCGCATTCAGAAGAAGATCTACAAGCCACTCTAAACACCTTCGCAGAAGCATACAGGAAGCTTGGCCTGTCACTGAACATCGAGAAAGCCAAAGTGCTCTTCCAGCAGTCACCAGCCATCCCCTCCCCAATGCCAGAGATACAGCTTAATGGTGTAGCATTAGAAAATGTTGACCATTTCCGCTACCTTGGCAGCCACCTCTCCACCAAAGTCAACATCGACGCCAAAATACAACACTGCCTGAGCTCTGCAAGTGCAGCATTTTCCCGAATGAAGCAGAGAGTGTTTGAGGACCAGGACATCCGTAGGGATACCAAGGTGCTTGTCTATAAAGCTATTGTCCTCCCAACCCTGCTATATGCCTGTGAGATGTGGACTGTCTCTGCTGATACGCAATAATGCACAGGGGTTCCTCTTGGCATTGCAAACTGACACACTAAAGGTGCTGACAGAGCTGCGCACCACCCAGAAATGTGCAACTCATGCCAAGCAATGGCATTTGTAGGACTCTGCTGAATGAGCTGAATGCATCCATTTCATAACAGCTGCGTAAGGAAAGCCTCACTTGTGTGTCACACCCACAGTTTGGTGGCTCCAGCCTTCAGGGCTGCCTCCCACTTCCAGGCATGAAAATAGCACCTGCCAACCGAAGCGCACTGCTTTTGCCTGCCACTCCTGGGCCTGAACAGATGCACCAACACATTGTCTGAAGAGTAAGTGTTGCCCAGGAGAGTTTCCCCGATAGAAGCATAAAGTGGTACAGTGATTTAAAGGGGCACCAGGGCACCATATGCTGGCTCCCTCTTCCACATGCTTTTTGGGAGCTGGCCTAAGCTGGCAAAAGAAGTATCCACGTTTAATAGACATTGTGATAGAACACCACTGGGGCAAGGGACATTTGTGCCCATTCTGCTTTGTGCAGCAAAGTTTTCCCATTTGCCCACACTGACAGCTAATTGAGGAGCCAACTCCGGAAGCACCCCCTTGCGTCATCGGGAGGAGGGTTGTGCTTGGTGACCGTGGGAGACCTAATTGGAAACATTTCCAGGTTGAAGGAACACTACAGAGGTAAAATGTGAAATTAGCAAAGTGGGTGGCAAGTGGGAAGGAAAGTAAAAACCTTTGTCGACGGCATCACATCAATGAGCACAAATCGCAAGCGCCTTGCGGGTTTCACCGCTGCCACCATCACTAAAATAGTTGGGAAGTTATGCTGACGCCAGCAGCCCCAGGGAGGCTGAACTCTTCCAAGGAGGGAGAATGGGAGAGATTCTCAACAAGCTGTGTGATTGGGATAATTCAGGGGGAGCCCTCCCAGCAAAACTTGCCACACGTGCCTCTATTCATCAGCAGCATCATGACTCAGAGCCATTGTAAAGGCTTCCCACAGACTGACTGCGAAGTTGTTCCATTTTTGATTTGATAAAGGAGGTCCGTTGGATTTCTACTCTGCTTGAGTCAGAACAAGGGAAGGAGGAAGGGGCTCATGTCACACATAAGGATGTGGGGCATGACAAAGTGCCTCTGATGCATTTATAGTAGGAGACCCTCAGGTGGTTAGTGGCTTTTATAGCAAGGGACATAAGGAGGAAATCCACTCTGGGTTTAATCCAACCTTCACTATGGGTTTTAGTCTGAACTTCAAAGAATCCATTCAAGATGGGAATGGGGCCTCTAAACTATGTGTGTATTTATATGCAATTAGAGTTAAGATGTAGGGTGTGCATTATTTAAGTATGCACATTATTATTATTATTATTATTATTATTATTATTATTATTATTATTTGTACTCCAATTTATCTGTCCCAAAGAACATTGAGTGGCTTAACATAAAAACATTAGCATACAATTTAAAATATACATATATGCAAACATTAAAACAAAATTAAAGGTAAACAATATAAAAAATACAGCTAAAACCGTTAAAACATATTCAAAATTAAAACCACAGTACCCCCTGACTTTAAAATCGTGTCTGAATAAATAGGCTTTAATCTGCCGTTGGAAGGACAGCAGGGAGGAGGCTATTCTGGCTTCCCTGGGAAGAAGGGAGTTCCAGAGTTGAGGGGCAGCCACAGAGAAGAAAGGCCCGCTTTCTGATTCCCACCAGTTGACCTTGAGATGGAGGTGGGACCGAGAGAGGGCCTCTCCTGAAGATCTCAGGGCACGGGCAGGTTCATATAAGAGGGTGCAGCCAGCTAAATACCCTGGACCTGAACTGTCTAGGGCTTTAAAGGTCATAACCAGCACTTTGAATTGTGTCCAGAAACAGACTGGTAGCCAGTGGAGTGCGGTAAAACCTGTACACCAACTGTGCCCATTCACTGTAGCCAGCCCCAGTTAGCAAGCTGGCTGCAGTTCTTTGGACCAGCTGAAGTTTCCGAGCACTCTTCAGAGGCAGCCCCACATAGAGCGTGTTACAATAATCCAGACAGGATGTAATTGAGGCATGTACCCCAGTGTGCCCAGATCTGGCTTCTCAAGGAATGGGCACAGTTGGTGTACAGGTTTTAATTGTACAAAGATCCTCCTGGTCACTGCCAATACCTGGGCCTCTAGGTTCAATGCTGAGTCCAGGACGACCCTCAAACTGTGTACCTGTGTCTTCAGGGGGAGTGTAACCCCATCCAGCACAGGTTGAATCCCTATTCCCTGATCTGCCTTCTGACTGATCAGGAATACCTTTGTCTTGTCTGGATTAAGTTTTAGTTTGTTTGCCCTCATTCTGTCAATTAGTGATGACAGACACTGGTTTAGGGTCAGGATTGGTTCCTCGGCTTTAGGTGAAAAGGAATAGTAGAGCTGGGTGTCATCTGCATATAGGTGGCACCATACTCCAAAACTCTGGATGACATCTCCCAGCAGTTTCATGTATATGTTGAACAGCATGGAGAACAAAATGAAATTCAGAGGAACCACACAGGTCAATGACCAGGGGTCCCCCAGCAAAACCTTTTTGGTACGGTCATCCAGGAAGGACCAGTCACTGTAAGACAGTGCCTCCCAGTCTCATCCCAGCAAGATGATCCAGAAGAATACCATGGTCAGTGGTATCAAAAGCCGCCGAGAGATTCAGTAGAACCAATAGGGACACACTTCCCCTGTCTTCTTCTTTGCGTTGGTCATCCACCAAGATGAGCAAAGCTGTTTCTGTTCCAAAGACAGACCTCAAACCAGATTGAAATGGATCTAGATAATCTGTTTCACCCAGAAATATATACTGTTGTTTTCCTTATTAAAATATTTTTTTCTGTATTAAAATATTTGGGGGAAAAGAACTGGGGCTCAGCACTTTGGACAGAAGTGTCTCCTTCAAGTTCATGGCATTCTTGGAGGGGTTCTTTGAAATCTAGCACAGAAGTCATCAATGTCCCAGGCACAGAAGCAAAATAGGGGCTACTATCCAAAGCCAAGGTTGCCAAAGTCCTGCAGACCGTCAGTCAAGGCTGACATGATGGCAAATCACAACAATCACAAAGTTCTGAGGCTGCAACTCTACTCTGATTTCTCTTTTGAAGAAAGAAAACTAGATTTCCATCTTTGGCAGGAGGTCTGCTGCCCAAAGTGAGGGCCTCCAGGGAGACAGTGGCCCACGCTGAGCCCTCAAGGGACCACTCCCCGTTGTCACAGCCAGCCATCTGCTGCAGCTCTGAGTCGCTGTCACAAAAGGCAGGTGTTGTTGGGGAGCGCTCCGACGTTCTTTCGGCATGAAGCCAACAGGCCTCCATCTCTAGCTGGAGGGAGCCTGGCTTTGTGTTAACTCTGCTGGAATTACTAGGGCAGAATGTAGCTCAGAGGAACAAGAGAGCCATTTTGCAAAAGGAGGATGCTGAATGATTCAGGAGGAAAGAAGGAAGGAAGGAAGGAAGGAAGGAAGGAAGGAAGGAAGGAAGGAAGGAAGGAAGGAAGGAAGGAAGGAAGGAAGGAAGGACACAAGGAGTAGAGAAGCTGATCCCCAACGATGCCACCAAGCAATGCAGAGCAAAGTCATGTGACTTTGACATGTGCAGAAATGTCAGCTGACTACATCGATTGAGACCAATTTTGGCACAGGATGAACCAGCCATGCAGCTTCAATCCATATGTTGGACTTGTTCAGTGTGCAGCTTAGTTTCACCATCAACAACTGACTCCAGATGCTTCTCAGAACATCTGTATGCATCAGGACCATTGTCAATAGAGGGGAGAGATACATGTTACCCTCCAACTGGAAGTACAACCAGCTGCAGAAAAGCCCTGGCTTTTGATGCACCGAGAAGCAAAGGGGCAAATCCTTTAGCTTCTGCTACAGCATCTGTTCAGGGACTGAAACCAACCTGGTTGCTGCTCTGGGAAACCTCTGCTGATCTATGGCATTATTTAAAGGATGAGGGAAGGCATGCTGCCTTGGAAGTAGAGATCTGTTTTTCTTTGAATCTGAAATAAGACAACTTCCTACCAAAGAGATGAGACTTCGGACCTTTTCACATGGGGCAAAAATGCCCCATTTTTATTTCAGAACTTGGACAGGAGCCTGCCATGCACAATTACATGACACATGGCAGGCTCCGCCCACTTTCCTCCCAAGGTGGAGGTGAAGCACCAGACCTCACAACCTCTGAGGATGCTTGCCATAGATGCAGGTGAAACGTCAGGAGAGAATGCCTCTAGAACAGTGGTTCTCAACCTTGCTAATGCCGCGACCCCTTAAAGCCGTTCCATATGTTGTGGTGACCACCAACCATAATATTGTTTTTGTTGCTACTTGATACCTGTCATTTTAGTACTGTTATAAATTGTAATGTAAATATCCGATATGCAGGATATATTTTCATTCACTGGACTAAATTGAGCACAAATACCAAATATGCCCAAATGTGAATGCTAGTGGGGTTGGGGGGAGGGGGGAGGATTGGTTTTGTAATTTGGGAGTTGTAGTTGCTGGGATTTATAGTTCACCTATAATCAAAAAGCATTCTGAACTCCACCAGCGATGGATTTAAACCGAACTTGGCACAAAGAACTCCCATGACCAACAGAAAACACTGGAAGGGTTTGGTGGGCATTGACCTTGAGTTTGGGAGTTGTAGTTCACCTACATCCAGAGGAGTGCTGTGGATTCATGCAATGATGGATCTGGACCAAACTTGGCATGAATACTCAGTATGCCCAAATATGAACACTGGTTGAGTCTGGGGAAAATAGACCTTGACATTTGGGAGTTGTAGTTGTTGGGATTTATAGTTCACCTACAATCAAAGAGCATTTCTGAACTCGACCAACAATAGAATTGGGTCAAACTTCCCACACAGAATCCCAATGACCACCAGAAAATACTATGTTTTCCAATGGTCTTTGGCGACCCCTTTGACACCCCCTCACGACCCCCTCAGGCTGAGAAACACTGCTCTAGAACATGGCCATATAGCCCGGAAAAACCAACAACACCCCAGTGATTCCAGCCATGAAAGCCTTCGACAATAAATTCACCAAAAGGTGCTTTGTCTCCCACCACAGGGAAGAAAGTGTTGTTTGGGTAGCTCCAACAGAGCTACTCACATTTTCCTCCCCAAATCCCTGCGTGATGGCAGAAGGGGTGGTGGGGCATCGTGCGTTGCCACACATTGCATCCTATCTGCCATTTGATGAGGGGAGGGAAAGGGTGATAAAGCACCCTCTCCCACCTCTCCATGTGATGAGGGGAGGAAGGAGGGTGCATGGTGTGCCACAAGCCACCCTGTGCGCCTTCTTTTTTGCCAGCAATTGCTGTTGCAATGGCACAGCCCTGTTCATTTTGCCTGTTCATCTATTTCAGTTTTGGGATATGTCTGGTCCTGGGGGTTCTTTTGTGGTCCTTGACCCCTCCAGACTCCCTCAAACCAACCCTATTCTTAACTGAGTCATTTGTAAGTTGGATGTTTGCAACTTTTTATTCAGAGTCCACTGTAAACACTGTGCATTGTTGCTAACAGATTTGTGTAAATGGCAGAATACTGAAACTTTTTGCTGTTGTCAAATTTTTTGACACCCCAACATCAAGCTGAGGGGACTCCATTTGAGGTTGGAAACCACCATTTAAGATGCAGTGCTCTAGGTGGCTTTTGTGAGGAACAGGAGCCTGACTGGTTGGATTTGGGGCTTCTCCCAGCAAGGCTCTACTTCAGCTCTCATAAACATTTAAACAGGTTTGATTTGTATCTCTAGATTTTGTGATAAGGTTTGTTATGGAGATACTGTTCTTCCCTGAAAGGATACATCACAGGATTGGCTCGATCTGGAAGATAACTGACAACAGCTGATCTCCCTGTAGCACAAGATCTAAGTTGGACGTTTGTAACTCAAGGACTGCCTATATCTAGTTATAGGAAGCTAGCAGTATGCTGCTCTGCCACCAACCATCTACTCTTCTCTGGTCAATAAATAGCTGTGTTGTGGGGCTACAATCCCACAAAATAGTGAGTTGGGGCAAGGGAGGAGATGTGATATAGTTCAAATTGGTGTCCCTTACAAATATTTATGGATTTCTGGATTTCAGTCTTGGATCTCTCCTTTAGAGCTAAGTGTGGTTATAACAATGAGTTACAACTCATTGTCATAACTCATTGTTATAACCAAAATGAGCTCTAAAGGAGAGATCCAAGACTGAAAGTTCTGGTTCTGGATCACATTCAGCCCCATTTGCATCCAAGGCCAGTGTCCTGGAATGACCAGGCCATGTCCCCTGAGCCTTACTGCCCCCCCCCCCCCCAACATGCCTGCCTTTCCTTGGGTGACAAATGGAGCAGATGGGCAAAATGAACTCCCGCAGAACCGCCTGGCTGGGAAGCACACCCAGCACAGATCGGAAGCGGCAGGAGACGTCAGTTCTGCTCACCATCGGGCTGAGTGATCCCACCCCAGTTCAGGGCTCCCAGGGGAAGCCTCCGCTAATTTTAGAGTCTGCATGAGGACGGAGTTGATGGAGGTGGCTGACCCCCAGCTTTGCACTCTTTTTGTGCTAAAAGCCCCTGCATAATTTTCCTTGGCATCTTAACAGCCTTGTTCTCCCGGGCTTTCTTTTTCCCTTCTTGACTGAACCAAGGAATGTGTACAAAGACAGTCCTCCTGTGACATCGGGGAGAGTTGATAGGAAACCTCCATTGCAAGAGCAGCTGGTGGCTTCTGGGAGCATGGGCACATTGAATCTGATCTGGGTTTTAGACTGAACATCAAGGGGGAGAGATTCAAAGCACAGAGCCTATTTTGTGGTTAAGTAAGAAGCCAAGAAAGGTTGACTGGCACAGGGTCACAGAACTACCTCTTTACTCCACCATGTTCACATTTGACAACATTCTTGTCTGGGGAGAGATTTGAAACTGGTTCTCCCAGTCACAGTCCAGCACTCAAAGTACTACACCAAGTTGGCTCAGAAACAAAAACATCCTCTAAGTTGTCCATTGTCTTCCTCTGAGGCTGAGAGAGTGGCTTTCCCAAGGTCACCCAGTGAGGCTCAAACTCTAGAGTCTGAGTCCAATATTTAACTCATTACACCACAATGACCCAAAGAAATATACGGTTTTCTTGGCAAGACTTATTTAGAAATGATTTGCCACCACTGTCTGCTTCTAAGGATGATGAAGTATTACTGGACCGTGATAGCACCGCCAAGTCTAATGGCAAATAATCCCAGTATCTTCTGACCTCCCGCCATCATCACTGCCACCACAACAGCACTGTGAGGCCCAACCCCAAGCAACTCCAGTGCCTTCTGATGTGGTTAACAGATTGAATTAATTGAGGTCTGGCTAGGGCCTATAAAGGTATAGCAAGGCTGAGGACACCATCCTAAAAAAAGGAACCTGGAAAATAATATTATAGAGGAAGTGAAGAATTCATCAATTGTGGCATGAAAAGTGCTAATGAGACATCCAGAGGACTGACCTGAGAACTTTTGGTGTAAACAACACCTGTTTACATAGTCTTAGACAACGTTACCTTAAGAATGAAGTCAAACAATCTATCTGTTCCTGGATTGATGAGGCTTCAGCAGTTCTGAGCTGAATGACAGAGGTTATCTAAGAAACCAAGTAATGGATAACCAAACATCGCTATATAAGGAGACCCTTTTTCCTTTTCGACTGTGTGGCAGACCTACAAGGACTGCATCTGTCTACCTGTCTCTCTTCTCCAGCAGAAGGCTTGACCGGGGAAGGGATGGTGAGTATGAATGATGAATGTATGTGAGTGAATGCTGAGTAAATGTGATGTTTCCACTTTGTCTGTGTAACCAATATAGGTATTACGAAACCAGTACTGGGTCTGTGTGTCTATTTCTTTCTCTGAAAGTGCCTGATACTCTGTCCACTGACAATGGATTAAAGAACATTTTAAGGTTTGAAACATATTCATGACACTGACACATATATAGAAATACACAGGGACCATGGGCTTACCTGCTTGAGGATGTGCACGGCCATGGTGTGGGTGCAGTCGAAGATGATCCGGAACTCCCTCCCACGCTTCATCTCTTTCAGCAAGGGCCGCATGTCATCCGTGTCGAGGGGCAGCTGGCGGATCTTCAGGCGGATGTTGTACCTGGAGGGGGCCATGATCAGCTCTTGCAGCCGGATGAGACCTTGGAGGGAAGGAGGAGAGAGGAAGAAAGAGGGGAGAAGGGCAGGCAGAAATTCAGAGATCAAGTTTCCAGTCCCTGTTCAGATCTTTGAATTTCCCCCAAAAAAGAAAGCTTTGAAACTGTGGAGTCACAGAAGAGAAACACCTCTTCTTCACAGGTCAGTGATACAGTGAATCTGCTCCATGGTTTAACCTAAATGTGTTCAAGACACTGAACCGCAGATAGGTTCTTCAAAGAATCTTGGGTGGGTCCCTTCTCTTGACACCTATATCTCTATTATTTATTTATTTATTTACGATATTTCTACCCCACCGTTCTCAAACCCAAAGATGACTCAAGGTGGCTTTACAACATAGGCAGCTATTCAATGCCATTAAAACAATGCAAAAATTTCAATAAATATTTAAAAGAGAATTATAAAATACATACATTAAAACCTTTACAAACATATAAAATCAATACGTTCATTATTAGCCTTGTAGTCCAAAAACATTGCCTAAGCTGTTCCAGTATTCAATTTCACATAGTTCTGTGTTTATCTATTGCACTAGGTTCCCAAAGGCTTATTCAAAAAGCCATGTTTTCACTTTTCTGCAGAAGGTCAGGAGGGAAGGGGCTGATCTAATATCCCTAGGGAAGGAGTTCCACACCAGAGGGGCCACCACTGTGAAGGTCCGGTTTCTCGTCCCCGCCAGTTGTGCCTGTGAAGAAGGTAGGACTGAGAGCAGGACCTCCCCAGATGATCTTAAACTCTTAGATGGTTCATAGGGAGAGATATGTTCAGACAGGTAAGCTGGGCTGGAACCATTTAGGGCTTTATAGGCACTTTGAATTGTGCTCGGTAGCAAACCAGCAGCCATTGGAGCTACGTAACAAGGGAGTTGTATGCTTCTTGAACACCACTCCGGTGAGCATCTAGCTGCTGCCTGCTGGACCATTTGAAGCTTCTGAACAGTCTTCAAAGGCAACCCCATGTAGAACATGTTGCAGTAGTCGATATGAAATGTAACTAGAGAATGGACTACCATGGCCAAGTCAGACTTCCCAAGGTATGGGCGCAGCTGGTGCACAAGTTTCTAATGGAGGTCCAAGGCAGTAGGCTTTGCTGGCTTCCACACCACTGAGGTTGTGAATCTAATCCAGGCTTTAACCCAGGATAGATTCACAACCACAATAGTCAGTGTCTTACGTATACAGATAAGACAGTTAACTTTCATCACTTGAAAGAGATGCTTTTATGTCTTGTGGACATTCTGTCCCATATGTAACCACCCCGTGTTCCTTCAGGGAGGTGGTGGTGGGCTATAAGAATGGCATTATTATTATTATTATTATTATTATTATTATTATTATTATCCATTATAAATTTGTCACCAAACTTTTCAGATCATCCTATATGATGTCAAGCACAAGGTTTGGCATCAAACATGTCCTGTTTCTAGTCCATTTGTCTCCCAATACATATAACATGTGTGGAACAGCCCATTGTTGAACATGAGCTCCCAAAATGAGTTCAGCACTTTGGAGTGGTCTTTTTGGCCAAAAGTTTTGAGGGGAAAATGCAGATTCATCAAGCTGCTGACAAGGAAGCTGCCACAGGCCCAAAATTTAATCCAAATTTACTCCTTCTGTTTCCCAAGAATGCCTCTGGTCACCTGATGCCAAACCCTCACATCCAGGGCAGTCTTTGGATTTGGCATTGGCTCAACCCAGATCCTTCTCTGACTGTCCACATTGGGGTCGCTCTGGCTCTTTGTATGTAACCTGTTCCCTATCCCAGCCTCCAAGTCTTGATGGTGCATTAAAATTAAGAAATGCTTGGAGGAATCAAGGAAAATGGACACAGTCATCAGAGTCAACAGGGAGTGAAGCCAAGAGCCTCGAGGAATCCATGCGGTTCGCATGCTGCCTTTGCTTCTGCAGAGCTTTCCTGCACTTCCCATGGCTGATAAAATGCATATGCCTCCTCCTGCCTTTACTCAGTTGTGTGTCTGAACCATCTCTGCTGTTGCCAAAGCCCTCTAGATGGTCTTGCAGGGCCACCATATTTACACTCGGCAACATTCTCTCCATCAAGTGGCAGAGCTCTAAATCTCACAGATGAAGCTTCTCCTATTGAACAGAACCAGTGCCAGCCGCCTTCTCAAGGTCAAATGGGCTTGAAACCTTTGACAAATGGCCTCCTTCGAGGTAATTAATTCCATTAGGAAGCAGCACGGCCTGCTGCTTTGCAATTATGAGATTGCATTTGTAGGAAACAGAAAAAAACAACCCAGCCCCATAATCTTTATATATCCTGAGATGGGGCTTAATTTCGCAAGGTGGTGCGGATGAACTTTCAATTGAGAATACATCCACAAGTGACAAAAACAATAATCTTGAACACAAACAAGGAAGGACACTTGTGAAGGTGGTTCAGAAGCAAGCCAATATTGTGAGAGGAAACTATGTCCCAGCTTTTCTCTTTTTTTTTTTTTTTTATAAATTTTTTATTGATTATCACTTTATTACATACTATTACATTTTGTACATCAACCTCTTTAACATGTTATTTTATTATTTTACTCTGACATTTCTCCCCCTTTTTCTCATTTTTTTCCCCCCCTTTTTTCACCACAGTGCTCCCCTCCACCCATTTCAAGCCACCCTTCTTACATTTCATCTGTCCAAAATTTCATTTCTTCTTGTGACGGTAATTTTCCTTCCTTATTTTTTAATCCATTTACCACAAATCTTCCCCATACGGCATCAAAATCGCTTTGTTTCCATGTACCTTTTTTAACCTTTAATATACATGTCAATTTATCATTTATTGCTATTTTCCATGCTTCTTTATACCACTCCTCTATTTGTATATTCATTTCTTTTTTCCAATTCCTTGCTATAAGCAGTCTTGCTATAGTTAGTAAGTTTGTTATCGCTTCTTTATCCTCCTTTTTCAATTGCTTATCGTTATATAGTGATAGTAATGCTATACTAGGACTTTTATCTAATTTTATATTCATTATAGTTTCTATTTCTCTAAATACTTTCTCCCAAAAATTATTTACATATTTACATTGCCACCACATGTGTATATATGTTCCTGGTTCTTGACACCCTCTCCAACAATTTATTGAGTTATTTTTATTCATATATGCTATTCTTACCGGTGTCAAGTACCACTTCCATATTAACTTGTAATAATTTTCTTTAACTCGTATCGATAAATTTTTTAAATGTCTTTGTCCCCATAATTGTTGCCACTCTATTTCGCTTATTTTTATCCCTAAATCTTCTTCCCAAATCTCTTTAAGGGTGCACTTTTTTGTTTTTTCATCTTTCATTTCAATTAATATCTTATAAATTTTGCTAATTATACCTCTCAAGTTTTCGTGTTCTTCTACAGTCCTTCCCTTCTGTATTATTTGTTCGAATTGACTGAGTTGGCTTTCACTTCTATTATTTTTTTTCCAATTTATTACC